TTAAGACATTGAGTGTCCCGTACACAAACTCTCACAGTAGAGTAGTGGAATATGGACTGGCGAAAGCAAGGGCTTGTCTTGCCATCGTCGTACCGACACCCCTTCAACTCCTGTCGATGCGCACGTCATTTTAAGATGGGTGGGGTGACGGCGATAAAAGTTAAGAGTGCTCGAAAATACTTACGTGTATATATTGAACAAAAAGATTACCCAACCCTTTCAGAAGCATTCCGTGGCTTACGTTGTTTGGTAAACACAAATACCCTACAGTCGACCTTTTCCCTGTCGAGCATCGCTTTCTCTGTCCTGACTGACCCCTGTGTTGATTCAACAGCTCGAAGGACACCTTCGTTTCAACCACGCCCGAGGTCGGTACCTCCATATATGTTAAGAATCATTCGGTTACGGTTCTCTAATTGTTGCACTGTGCAAACAAACGTTATATTCGACCTGCACGCAAGTAGCATTAAATAGGGTGAAGTCGATTGCACAGCACAAGGTAGCGATTCATACCTACGAGTTAGGGGGTATTCTGTTCAGCATTCGGTCATTTCACAGGTGTCTGTCTTTTTATTTCCAGACACAGCGATTTCCACATCAATGATCATGGGGAAATTCGGCACACTGGTTGCCATGGTGATGGCAATTTGTTGGATGTCTAACCTGATCAATGGGTAAGTCCTGGTAGCTTTACTCAGATGACACAACACGGACGATTAGTCAGCTGATTAGTACACCGCATACGTCACAAGGAATGGAAACCATTCAGTTTAAACCTTTGGCTACGTTTTGGAATTTCATTTCACGTTACCGGAAACCGGCCATTTTCGAAGATAGAGAAAAGAAAGACAGATATGTAATCATGTAACGCGTGAATATTTTCCCCACGCTCGTTACGCAATTAATACAACTGAAAGTACAATTTTCAACCAGCAGTTACGTTTATATGAGTATAGCTTGCTGAGAATTCTGTGGTAAACAAGAACTAGAAACGTTAGGGGATATTTCTCTTATGTGACTTTTCAATATAACATGATTAGGAATTGGAGGCATATTATCAAGGTTGGGCACCATATATTTATCTACACTGATGTTAGGGTGATGGGATATTGTGTGGGCTGGGTGTGTACATGTTAATCACAAACACCATGCGTTGTCCTTATGCTGAAATCAGTTGTAGCCAATGTGCGTTTGGTGCCTTCGGTGTTTCTGTTCAACTACAACACGTTTAGGTATCCGTATATAAAGAGTAAACACATAAACATAACGCAAAGTGCAAGCTATTCAATGCTCGCTTACACAGGCAGCGTAAGACGGGTTTAACTACCTGCGTAACCAAGCATGACGAAGTGCCGCTATCGACGGTGATCAACGAAACATGCCGGTGATTGCTCGAGTAAGTGCGGCATAATGTAATGAATAGGTCGATTTAGACATCGGATGAACGAAGAGTGTTTGGCCCAATTACTTAGCATATGTATATCAACCCATGCCACTGGAGGTGCATAAATAATCCCCAAACTCAAAAGTCTGGCCTAAATAGACAAAACTACCTAGGTATACTCATGATCACAGTTTTCTATTTTACTTCAGAGACGATGGAGGCAATATCTGCATATCTACTGGATCAAGAACTGAATTGGTGCCTGAAGTTGAAGTCAAGGAAGTCCGAAAAGTAGACTACCTGCCTTGCGGAGAATGTGGATGCGATACATGTATTGAATACAGGTAAAGAACTATTGTT